CCACAGGAGTGGGAATATAATATTTACAAACTCTAAAAATTTCTGCCTTTGTTTCTGCTCCATTCCAGCTCCTCCAGCTATCAAAATATATCTAATATATTCAAGCAATTGTACAGTTGAATAAGATTTCCTTGTTTGTAAATGTTTACAAATATTTACAGTTTTACTCCCAATTTTTTTGCCTTTCTCTTTTCTTTTTATTATCTATTATTTATTTGAGTGCTCATTGCTCACCTCTATACCTGCAGTGTAGTTTTCTTCATGCGGGGTCTCTCATGTTCTCTCCTGTATACCTGTCCACACTTCTGTTCATTTCAGGGTTCACCTGTTGCCCCACATTGTGGTACCATTTGTCGGGGATGAGCTTTGACAAAAACACCTCTTGCCCGGTTAAGGACATGGGGATCAGGAAAATCAGTAAAGAATATGAAGACGCAAATAAAATAATAAAACAGAAAACATAAGGTAGTATCGGGAAGGAGTTCTAGTGAATACTAAAATTGCCCACATTTAATTTTCCACACACTTTTATACCCAATACAAAGGGCGGGGGGAAGAAGACAGCAAAAGACTTCTTTAACATGATACAAAGGACAACACAAACAGGTAATTGCTTCAACACCTTGAGACATCAAGTCATTAGCATTCTGTTGTTTTTTGCAGTGAAGCCAGTCTAGACCAAGTATCCTGAAAGCAGCCACTCCCCAGGTAAGCACATAGTTACAAAGGAAGGAGCAGAAGTGTGCTTGCATATCCTGACCATCTGTCAGTGTGGGGTGGATCTTTCCATATATACCATCTTAATGTCAAAACAACCAAGTAACCACGTCCAGAGTCAAGATGGGTAGCCCTGGTTATTGTTAACCATTTTTAGCAACCTCCAAACTCTCTGGCCATCAGACAAGGTGGAAATAGGCTCACAATTTTGGGCCTCCACATCTGAGTTCTGTGGATGTCCATGACTACAGGCTGCAGTGACCTTGCTCATCCACGGGAAAGGTGTCGTCCATCCCTTCTCATTCCCCCTTGGGATGCCTCTAAGAAAACCTCCAACCTATCCACCTGACACTCATACTCAAAGACCCTAAACTTATTTGTTTTTGCAATAAAATTTGGCCTAAATACCCCTTAATCAATCCAAATGTCTGCTTAATGGCACCCTAGGTCCCAATATTATTCAGGACCTTTACAAATACTATAAGCGATCAGGGGAATGGGAAGAGGTTTTTCTATATCCAAGTTTTCTCTTTGCTCTGCTCCAAGCCTTCTCTCTGTACCTCATGTTCTCCTGCTCAACTCTTTCTAGCTATGAAGATTGAACAAGAAAGTCCTTCCACTACTTCTGACCCAGTTAATCAACCTTCCCCCAAGGGAACAAAACCCACAGCTCCTCTGGCCCCTCCAACTTCCCTTTCACTCAAGTTGGTTCACTAGCGCCCACTTTCAGTACACTAGCAGCCCCTAGTCCTTCCACTACTCACTCCTGCTCCACCCTGAGACCCTCTTTACCTCCCCCTTCCCAGCCCAAACCAGCTAAAGGACTCCTGACTCCACAGGCAGAAGTCATAACTGTGACCTTTAAGGTGAACCACGGGAGGTATGAAAAACCCAAAACAAAATGCCTGGTGATGGCTAAGGCCTTTCCACTATCCAGAGCAAAACCTAAGGCTCCCTGCCCTCCCAAAGGCCAAGGACCTACAAGTTCTTGTTACAAATGTGGTCAGAAGTGTCACTGGGCCCAGGTCTGTCCAAACCCTTGTAAACCACTTGGATCATGTCTGAAGTGTCATCAAGGAGGACACTGGGGTGTTGATTGTCCCCATGTCCCTCGTGGGCATGAAGATATCAAGCCTAGATCGCCCTACATCCAACCTCCTTGGACTATCCATGGATGACTGAGGGAGCCCGGGCACCTCCATCTCTGACAGGAGCCTCAGGTAGTTATCACAGTATCAGGGCAATTCAGCCCCTTCCTACTGGACACCAGGCCTGCTTCTTCAGCCCTGATGGAGTTCTGGGGTCCCACCTCTTGCTCCTTTCTAGTGATACCGACCTGATCCATCCCGTTGCTGGGAAGGGACCTCTTAGCCAAAGTGGAAGGCTCTATTTCTTCTGTTCCCCCATCCACTTGACCCCAGGCTTGCCAGATGTTCCCCTTTCCTTCAAAACCCACAATCTGACACACTTCTTTTATCAGACTGGGCTGAGTACACAAAATTAAAGCAGAGGACTCCACTATCACATGTAAGACCTTGCTCTACAAAAACAAATTGGGCATCCAATATGTTACCCAATCTTACCACCTCACCTTCCATGATGTTTGTAAAACCCCCAGAACCTATCACTTGCTTTGGGATCTCTGGCTGACCAACCCAGCGGCAGTTCCCTTCACCCTTAACATTTCAGAAGGAATCAAGTTGCTGATTTGACTCTTAAGATGTGTACAGATCATTTGTTTCTGCTACCCATCATGTCTGGTTCCAAATTCCCCTCCACCCGCTCTAAGCATCCATCTCTCCTCATCTACTTGGTAAATGCCCTCTTTCTGGCCTCTGGAGGAACTCCTTCAGGGTTTCACCACAGGGCCAACTGTCTATTAAGATATTTACTTTATGAAGATGCTCTCTTGCTCCTCTCCCTCTCTTGGAACCTGATGTGGGATTCCCCTCTGTATGCTGTGAATACCATCAGTTAATAAAGAAGCTGCTTTGGGCCTATTGCAGTGCAGAATAGGGCAAGGTGGGAATTCTTAGCAGACAGAGGATAGAGTAGGCGGAGTCAAGAAGCCATGTAGCTGCCATAGGAAACAGACGCTGGACACCAAATGGAACCTTACTGGTAGGCCACAACCAAGTGGCAATACACAGATTAATAGAAATGGGCAATTTAAGACATAAAGCTAGCCAATAAGAAGTGTGTGCTAATAGGCCAAGCAGTGTTGTAATAATACAATTTCTGTGTGATTATATCACGTCTGGGCAGCCAGGAAATGAACAAGCAGCCTCTGTCTACAGGAACCCTCCCTGTTTTCTGGTCTCCCTCCCTCTAGGAGCTGCCTGCTAAGCCCCCACAGCTTTCTTAAGCACATCTGGGCCTCTGCAACTTTGTCCCCTATCCCTCAGCTCCCACTTGGAGCTTACAGAAACTCCCTCCAGTGGAGTTCACTCTGTGACCCCTCCCCTCCTCTTCCACAGACTCCAATGTCATTAAAGCCTCACTCTGGCCTCAGTATAGTACAAATGGCTAAAATTTGCATTTTCAGTTTTCAATGATGAGCACTTCACAAGTGATCCAACATTCTCTGATATCTAAACTTGCTTTCTTCCCTATCCTTAGCTATACCCGTCTGGCATAAGCTCTTCCATAGGAATGTTTATTGTCCAAGAGACCCTCACCTCCATCAGCCTGTCCTAACAAGGTCAGGAAATCTCTATTCAGGCTGACAAGGCTGGTTCAGTTACCTGTAACTCCTTCATCCATGCCCCTTCACTGGGGCTTACTACCTATGCCTGTTTTCTCTATTCATGTAGGATAATTTCTACTGTTTAAGAGTCCAGGAGAGTGTCGTAAGAACGTGAGTGCTTAAAGTAAACCCCAGAACAAGTTCTGAAGGTCTAAACGGTGTTGTCTGAGGATGTGAACGCTTAGGTAAGTTTTGAAGGTATAAGAAAATGTGATATAAACCAAAGTTCTGAAGGCGGAAAACACTGAGGGTAACTAAGTTCTGAAGGTCTATGAAAGTGTTGTCTGAGGATGCGGAAGATTAAGTCTGAGGATCTAAGAATGGGTTATGTAAATGAAAGTTCTGAAGGTCTGAGAAACTGATTTAGGGTTGATAGAAAATGTTTCATTTTTCTTCCCCCTCTCTTCTACACCTAAGTCGTTCTAAAACACCTGCCCCTTATTCTGTCCTCGACAACCAAACTAGAGATTACTGTGGACACTGGCCAGAAACTTATGGAGGCTACTCTTATTGGTCCTGTAAGAGATGTAATGCCATTCAGGAAGGTACTCTGTCTTTTATGCACAATGAGGAACATTTATAAGACTCACGGCACTCCAGATGGAAGACAGGGGTCACTGGTAAACTTTACTACAGCACTATTACAGCTGCCCATCAGGCACGCTCAGAATACAGAAGGTATACAGCCCATTCTCCGTGCCTAGGTATAGACACAGCAGAAGTGGTTCAGAGCTCCTCAATGATCCTTACATCACTAATATCACCCCTTTTTGATGATACTGATCCCACCTCCCTGTCATATCTTTTGTTTCAGACCTTAACCTCTGCCAATCCACTATTGACCAATGCCTTGCCTGACTGCTTTGAAGAATGCTGGTTGTGTGTCCCTCCTGGGTCAAACTCACAACCACCATTTGTGGCTTCACCTACTCATTGTCTTATTAGATTCTCCTATCTTGCCGCCTGCAAAATGCTCTGAGTCAATAACAACCACTACCCCGTCCCTCTCCCACATCTCTCTCTTCGGTGCTGCAGACTGCTTTAACTCCTCAGGAACACACTTTGTGGGAACTCTGGATTCTGCAGATCGCAATAATGCCATGACGCTTAGTGACTCCCACAGTGTCCCTAATACCAAATACTCACTTCGTCTCGAGTCTCTGCGGAAAGGCAGTCGACCGCTGCCTATCTTAGGTGGTCTGGGACTTGTGCCCGGTGTTCCTTTTTCCTAAATCAGGGTTGAAGAACCTTTGCCGATTCTCTTCACTGAATTTAGAACAGCAGGGCAGGACTAACGAGCCGTCCCGCTCCCACCCCTGGGGGCGGGGTGGGGGTGGGGTGCTCCGGGCAGGCTCTCACGTGTGCGGTCTGCAGAGGTTGGTCGGGACAGGGTAGGACGCGGCTCCCGCGGCCCCAGGTCAGCGCGCGCCCCTCCTCCGGGCCTGAGTCACCGCGTCGCCCGAGTCCCCACGCCAGGATGCTTCGCTGAGCGCGGTCGGGACGCCGCGGGGCCCTGGGGGCGCTGGCAGCGTGGGGTTCTCGGCCGCCCGGCGGCGCCGCTCGGGACCTGCTCGGACGCTCGGCGGCCTGCGCGCCCGGGCCTCCATGGCGTTCACCCGGAAGAGGCAGCGCGAGCAGCAGCTGCAGCTCTACTCCTCCAAGGAGAGGTGAGCGGGGCCGGGAGGCCGGCAGCGGGGGAGGCCGGGGCGCAGCAGGCGCTCGCCCGCAGGCCGCAGCCGCCTCCCGTGACCCGGAGCCGCGAGTGGGCCCGGGGACCTGGGGACGCGCCTCGTGGGGGCGAGCGCCCCGGGCCCGCAGCCGGCCTGCGCGGGAGGCCGTGGGAGAAGCGCGTGCGGCGGCCCGGTCGCCGTCACCCGCGGCCCAGGAAGGACTTGGGGAAGAGCTACGGCCTCCCTCAGATCCCGTCCCCGGCTAGGAAACCGCACTTCCGCCTCGCGTGTCCTTCCCAGGGCGGTTTGGCGACCCACACGCCGGCGGCTAATCCGGCTGTGCTCCCACCAGGAATGCGGGCTACACCGTTTGGGGTTTTTATTTATTTATTTTTGCAAGCACGGGGTTTGTTGGTGGGAGCTGCGGTCGGGCTGTCAACATTGTCGCTCGGAGCCAGCAAAGCTGGTTTATACCTGGAGACGCAGGTGCAGCTTTTAATTCTGGGTGGATTTGCCCAGTCTTCACCTGTAGCTGTTCACTCCACCCGCCGGCTTCCTTCACCCGGACAACCCTCTTTTCATCTGTCATGTCGGGCTGGTCAGGGGGTGCGTTCCGAAAGTGCATTTCCCACCTGAGTTTACGTGGGATTTCTTTGTCTGGCACTAAGGACTTGTTAAGACTTGTTGGCGCTCTCTGTATTGCGTCGATGAGTCTTCACGGGAACCTTTTAAAGGCTTGAACTGTTGGCATGCTCTAGACTTCATTACTAGTCATTTGTAACAATCCTGTGACCTCGGTGATGAACAGGAAAACCGGGGGAGGGGTGTTTTGTTCTGTTTTTATCTAAATTTTAGATTCTCACTCTGACTTTGATCGACCTAGCCTGTTAGGGGAACCTGCTGCCCTTGTTATTTCCAGCCTAGGCTGTTTTGTTTACATGTTAAGCCCGCGGTCCTCCAGGATGAGAGTTCCCCTAGCCCAAGCATTTGTCAGTTATCAGCATCAACTGCTCCCCACAATCAGCATGGACAGTTGAATTCTACTTCCTGATCACCCCAAGTTTTTTTTTTTTCTCTGCCTAATGACTTTGCAATCTTCGGTGTTATTCATAGATATCTATTTTAGGGGAGCATCTCCGACTGTGAGATTTGAACTTAAATCAAGGAGATTCTTTACAAATCATCCAAAAGACCAGCTTGGTAAAGCAACCTTGCCGAGACCCAAATTTAACATTTCTGCACACGTGTTTTGTGGCTTATCTATCACTGGCAACATTAAGGACAAATGAGCAAGATGCTAAAGGCCATTGGTTCCAGTTATCTCAGAGGAGCTTGAGGCCAGCTTTAGAGATAACCAGGGGCCTCCCTCTGCACTGTGCACTCCCTGGCTCCATCATACTGAGTTAGGGACTTTAGATTTCTACCATTCCCAAACAATGACCCCAGAGAAAGAGAAATTGAAGTTAGGGTGTATGTGTCTCTGATTGCTGATTCAGCTCCAAGCAGAGCTTGTTTGAGAGATTCCGTGCCAGCGGTTTCGATCAGTGAGGACAAGAAAGAATGCAGCAAAGTAGATATGTATTCTGGATGGTCAGTGGGACCGAGGTGTCTGCTAGTGGTCGTGCATCTGGCATTTAAGAGGGCTGGAGAAAGAAGCCCAGCCGGGATTGTTAGGTACAATGTGAGGCACTCAGTTAAACACTAATTTCAGGTCATTTTTGGCATATGTCCCATGTAGATTTGGGGATATGTTTATACTAAAAGCTTAGGACAGACTAAGTCTATTGTTTATTTAAAATTCAACTTTAACTGGAATCCTGTACTACTTGCTACTTGTAAACCACATAGCCCAAAGCTGAGACTTTTGATTTGAATAACCACGCACTGGTGCTGTTTGCTGAAGTTCATGGAAAAAAAACAAAAACAAAAACAAAAAACTGCTTTAGCGGTTTTCAGGACCAAAAGCAAATAAATGATTGGTTCTATCTGATCAGATGAAGTGCTTTTGTATTCCTACGATCATGTCAGGGGCCCTATTCATCTTATTAGATATTTAACACACATTCTTTGAAATAGTTGAGTGTGGCAGAAGCGGTCAAGCAAATGAGGATATTCTACGAACCGCCGCTTGTTATTCTATTTATGAAGACTTCTATTTAAATGTTGTCTTCACAAGTATTTTTGTCTTACTTATGTAGAAGCTGAGACCCATTTCTTCACAGCGAAAGCTGTCGTTTGCTTTCTGTGGTGTGAGAGAAGGAACAGCCGCTGTTCGTAGGCTGTCAAGTCAGGCTAACTTGTCAGTGACGCTTAGTTTTCTGTTGTATGCCTGTATGTTACATTAATGGTTTTCCAGGCATTCCAGAGACTTACGCTTGACTTTAGAGAGTCCGTGGATGTGTAATTCCTTGGTTATGCTGGTATTAAATTTTTTACTTAACATATTTGTTTATCAATAGAGTTAGCATCTATTAAAAATAGTTTTTCAAAATACTAAGTGTTATTGTATAAGCTTCCATTTCTAGTGTGGACGTGCCAGTCTTTTGATTCCCTTTTGTAGGTTATGCCAGGGATTGGAAAAGGAGATAGAGTGCAGAATCAGCACTCAGTCAATAGGACTCTAATGGATCACAAGAAATTGTACCTTTAAAAGATGGACTCCGTTTTTCACATATAAATCAGCTAGAGAGAAAATAAGTGTTGCAAATATTTTGGTTAACTTAGAATTTATATCGGCTTCATCAAAAATGCTTAGTAGCCTGTCTCCTTATTCCATTATTGTTTCAAATTAACGCATTCCAAAACAAGACTCTATCCATAGATTGAATTTGAGTTCTTTAGCTGTATGATTTGCATCAATTGTAACATCTTAAGTATGATATCAATAGGAGTGGGTCCTTAAGGATTCAGTTCTTTTTTTTTTATTAAATTTATTTATTTAAGATTTCTGTCTCTTCCCCGCTACTGCCTCCCATTTCCCTCCCCCTCCCCCAATCAAGTCTCCCTCCCTCCTCAGCCCGAAGAGCAATCAGGGTTCCCTGCCCTGTGGGAAGTCCAAGGAATCCCCACCTCCATCCAGGTCTAGTAAGGTGAGCATCCGAACTGCCTAGGCTCCTACAAAGCCAATACGTGCAGTAGGATCAGAAACCCATTGCCATTGTTCTTGAGTTCTCAGTAGTCCTCATTGTCCACTATGTTCAGCGAGTCCAGTTTTATCACATTGGAGCACCGGACAGAAATCTCAAGGTCCAAATCAGGAGCAGAAGGAGAGAGAGCATGAGCAAGGAACTCAGGACTGCAAGGGATGCACCCACACAATGAGAAAATGGGGATGTTCTATTGGGAACTCACCAAGGCCGGCTGGCCTGGGTCTGAAAAAGTCTGGGATAAAAGGACTCAGTTCTTAATTGTAGTTTCTTTCCCTCCCTGACTTCCCCACCACCCCATCCTTCCTTTTTTATTTTATGAGAGTATAAAATACATGTAGTCTAGGCTAGACTTGAATTCCTGACTGTGGAGGCCCGAGGATGTGAGCCTATTTCCACCTTGACCAGAGGTCCGAGAATTGGACTTCACCTCTTTTCTTCCAAGGTTATTGTGTTTTTGCCTCAAACCAAGGTCCCACCTAGATTCAGAGCAGAGAGTTTTCTCAAGGCTGTTGTCAATAGGTGTGGCTAATATTCAGACCTTATATTTTAGGAATAGAGAAGTAGGTTGTTTCTGCCAAGGGTCCAGTTCCTTTATGGAGATAACATTGGATTCCACCCAGGGAGTGGTTTGCCTATAGAATGTTTTGGTCTAGGGTGTGGGTGTGACTTGTTTTGTTCTAGCAACAGAATATTTAACTGTGGCTGTAGCCTGAGACCTGTTCATTTCCTTGTGTCATGTTAATGCAGTTTTTGTCTTACTCCTACCTTTTGGGGTCCTGGGTATTTAAAGCAATTGGAAATTTGGGCGAATTTTCAGTACTCACGGAATTCCCTCCCAGTACTATAAATATAAAATATAGTATTATTTTTTTCATTCACGTCTTCATATTCTTTATTATATTTCTAAATCCTTATGCCTCTACCTTGGTAAAAGGTATTTCTGTTGAGGCTGGTCCTGAACACCTGACCCTTTGCCCGCACCTCCTAAGTGCCCTGGTGCAAGCATGCGTCACACCATGTTAACCATGTTAACCATCGTGCAGTGCCACTTTCTTTTCTTGTTATTGATGTACTGGTGATCCAACACAGAGCCTCGTGCTTGGTACCTCTGAGTTCTGTCACTGGCCTGACTTCTAAATACCACTGTGGTCCCAATTTTAACATCAAATATTTAGAAATTGTCCTAACATTTTTAACTCAGAAAGATTTTGAAAATTATTTTTTCAATTTATTATTATTATTATTTACTTATTCCATTTTTCCTCAGCACTGGGGATACTGGGGATTTAATATAGTGAGGGACTTGCAGATGGTAGAGGAATGTTCTACCCAGTCCTGTTACTTACTGTCAATTTGAGTTTTATGAGAAACTTTGAATTGCTATCTTTTTCCTGAAGTGAATCTTTTAGGAACATATAATCACCTCACTGTTTCTAGTAATTTTTTTTGTCTGATATTCAAACAGTTGTATCAGGTGATTTTCATTATGCAAAATTCTCCATTATTTTTTCTATAACCTTGTGTTTTGTGTGTTTCTTATGAAATGGTATATTATCTAACTTTAGTCTTAAAAACAATACATTTTATGCGTTTATTTTTATGCATGTGTGTATGTGTGCGGGCCTGTCTGGAGGTTGCAGGAGTCAGCTCTGCTTCCTCATGTTGGCCTAAGATCTCAAACATGGGGTGTCAGGCTTGGCAGCAAACGCTACACTGCCTTTCTTGTTTGCTGGTCCCTTCTTGTTGAATTTTTCAGTAGTTCTTTTGACTCTTAGTCTTAAGAAACAGATTGCTTATTATTATTACAGATTTATTTCTGCTATCTTACTGCATCCTGTGACTTCCTCT